GGTCAAACACATCATATCCAAACCATAGCTAGCAAATTCCTACAAAATCTAATTGACTTTTTTTAAATTGACAAGCTGATTTGAAAATTTACATGGAAATTCAAAGGACTCAGAATAGCCAAAACAATCTTTTAGAAAGGGAACAAAGTTAGAGAATTCACATTTCCTTATTTTAAGACTTACTACAAAGCTATAGTAATTATGTGCTCACTTTGGCAGCATATATACTCAAAATTGGAATGATACAGAGGATTAGCATGGCCTCTGTACAAGGATAACATGCAAATTCGTGAAGTGTTCCATAAAAAAAAAATACAAAAAACAAAACTATAGTAATTAAGACTGGGTTGTACTGGCATAAAGATAGACATATAGATCTAACCATATGGAATAAAATTGGAAGTCCAGAACCAAATTCATATATTATTGCCAACTGATTTTTGACAAGGATTCCAAGACAATGCAAAAGGAAAAGAATAGTCTTTTTAACAAATACTGTTGGGATAAATGCAAAGAAATGAAGTCAGACCCTTGCCTCACACCATATATAAAAATGAACTCAAAAGGAATCAAAGATATAAATGTAAGAGCTAACACTATAAAACTCTTAGAATAAAAAATAATTGTAAATTTTGTGATCTTGGAATAGTCAATAGTTTCTTAGATATGACACCTAATGTACAAACAATAAAAAAATAGATAAATTGGACTTTGTCAACATTAAAAATTTTTGTGCTTCAAAGGACACTATCAAGAAAATGAAAGAGAACCCTCAGAACAGGAGAAAGTATTTGCAAGTCATGTATCTGATAAGAGATTAATATTTAGAATACATAAAGAACACTTCCAAGTCAACAACAAAAAGATAAATATTTAGGCCAGGCACAGTGGCTCACTCCTATAATACCAGCACTTTGGGAGGCCAAGGTGGGAAGTTTGTTTGGGCCTAGGAGTTAGAGACCAAGCTGGGCAACCTAGTGAGACCCCCACTATTATGAAAATAAAAAATAAAAAAATTAGCTGGATGTGGTGGCATGCTCTTCTAGTCCCAGCTACTCAGGAAGTTGAGGTGAGAGGAGCACTTGAGGCCATGAGTTAGCGGTTGCAGTGAACTATACTGGGCCATTGCACTCCAGCTTTGGGAACAGAGTGAAACATCATCTCTTTTAAAAAACCACATAAATATCTCAATTGATAATGGGCAAAGAATTTGAATAGACATTTATCCAAAGAGACATACAAATGCCTAACAAGCACATAAAACCATGCTCAATATCATTGATTATTAAGGAAATACAAATCAAAACCACAATGAGATACCACTTTACACTCATCAGGATGGCTAGAATAAAAAAGATAGGTAATCACAAGTGTTGAGGAGGATGTGGAGAAATTGGAACCCTCATACATAGCTGGTGATAATGTAAAATGGTGCAGCCAGTTTGGACTATAGTGTGGAAGCCCCTCTAAAGGTTAAACATAGGGTTACCATATGACCACAATTCTAATCCTATTCATATACCAGACAGAATTGAAAACATAAGTTTACATAAGAACTTGTATACAAATGTTCATATTCATCACAGCCCAAAAGTGGAAACATTCCAAATGTCCATAACTGATGAATGTATAAACAAAATATTACTATCCTTTCAATAGAATATCTTTCATCAGTAAAAAGAAATGAAGTACAGATATACATTACAACATGGATAAACTTTGAATACATGCTAAATGAGAGAAGCCAGACATAGAAGGTCATATATTGTATGATTTCATTTATATGAAATTTCCAGAATAGGCAATTCCATAGAGACAGAAAGTAGATTAGTCATTGTCAGGGGCTGGGGGAAGAGAGGAATGTATAGTGACTACTCACGGGTATAGGATCTTTCTGGAGGTTGATGAACTATCTGGATTAGATAGTGGCAATGACTGCAATCTTAAGAATATAATGAAAACCTTGTGAATATACTAAAAGCACTAAATTGCACACTTTAAATGGGGGAATTATGTGATATGTGAGCTATATGTCAAAAATTAACCAACAGTTGCCATGCTTGTTTTAGTCTATTCCTGGATTCCATTCCATTCCATCAATTTATGTATCTACTTCTCTGTTAGTATCACAGTCTTGATTATGGTAGCTATATATAACTTCTTAAAATTGGGTAGGGTGATTCCTTCAACTTTATTCTTCACTTTCAAAGCTTTTTTTTTTAAAAAAAATAGCTATTCTAGTTCTTTTGCTTTTTCATATAAATTTTATAATCAGCTTGTCTACATCTACAGAAATCCTGTAGTTATTTGGTTGATAGTGTTGTTCAGTTCCTCTATGATCTTGCTGATTTTCTGTCTAGTGATTCTGTCAATTACTGTGAGAAGAGTGTTAAAGTCCTTGACTACAATTGGTGATATGTCTACTTCCCCTTTCAGTTCTGTCAGTTCTGTTGTTTGGTACATATACATTTTGGATTATATCTTTGCAGTGAATTGACCCTTTATCACTATAATAGCCTACTTTGACAATGGTAAATTTTTTTGCTCTGAAGTCTACTGTCTTATGTTAATAGAGCCACTCTAGCATTCTTGTGATTAATGGTCTCATGGAATATGCTTTTTTTAAAGGAAACTTTTACATTTTAGAATAGTTTTTGATTCACAGAAAAATTGCAAAAAGAATATATAGTTCTGATATATCCCACATCCAATATGTCTATTATTAACATTTTATATCAGTATAGCACATCTGTCACAATTAATGAATCAATATTGATACATTATTATTAACTAAAGGCCACACTCAAATATTCAAATTTCTTAAGTTTTTACCTAATGTCTTTTTTTCTGTTCTTGTATTCTATCCAAGAAACCACACTACATTTAGTTGTGTTCTAATGTAATCTAATCTAATGTCTCTTTAGGCTTTTCTCAGCTGTGACAGTTTTTCAGAATTTCCTTGATCGTTTTGAGGGGTACTGTTCAGATATTTTGTAGAATGCCCCTCAACTGGGGATGATCTCCTTTGAGTATTTCTTCAAGAGAACAGTGGAATAACTACCATATTCCCATAATCATAGTAGTCATTGTGTTGTGATATGATGCACAAAATGACCCTTCATGAAACATTTGAAAACTGTGCAAAGGTCTTATGTGTGGGAAGGGGAGTAAACTTTAGTGGTAATTCGTCTAGCAAAAAAGTATTTGCTTTGAAAGTTTTCTGGGCCATCAAACTAGCCAGTAAAACTTGACTAAGTGGAAACTGATTTTTATGCTTAAAAAAGGATCTAGTATTTTTGACTTACATTTTTTTAAAAAAGTATATACACTTTTTTTTGCAAAGGGAAAATATATTCATATATTACATATGTCCCCATCTTTTTCAAGTATATATAAATACACAGAAAAGGGCACAAGCTATAACTTCGTAGCTGCTAACAGCTCCCCAAAGCCCCTCATTCCCCTTTCTAGGTATTTCCCCAAGGTTTACTATGTTCCTGATTTCTTATACTATAGATTAATTTTTTATTTTATATAAATGGTACAGTATGTATTCTTTTTAGTCTGGTTTCTTCACCCAACATTGTATTTGACATTCATCCATATTGTTGTCAGTAGTGATACTTTATTATTATTACTATATAGTGCTCCATTGGGTGAATATTCCACAATTTATCCATTCTATTATAGACATTTGGGTTGTTTTCAAAATTGGGCTATTAAAAAGAATGCTGCTATGAACATTCTGTATGCCTCTGGTGAACATATATGCACTCCTGTCAGGAGTTAATTACTAGGTCTTAGTGTGTGTGTATGTGTGTGTGTGTGTGTGTGCACACTTTCATCTTTAGTAGAAAATGCCAACTTTTCAAAGTGGTTGTAAGAACACTCTTATCAGCAGCATATCAGGCCTGAACCAGGTGTAGGTGATGGTCAGGATTTTGGCCAAGGCCTTAACTAGGGACATCGCCAGGATGAAGATGAAGGCTGAGGACAGGGCTAGCGAGATGGCCAATGGTAGGGACAGGAACAGTGAACGTTAGGGCCAGCGCCTTGCCCTCATCGTGAGGTTCAGGCCTGGTGAAACTACAGTGAAGGCCAGGGCCAGCGTCAGGGTCAGGTGAGGGTTGGAAAAAGGGTAAAGACTAAGTGGCAGATGCTGGCAATGTACAGGGCAAGGTTGAGGAACAGGGTCAGAGTGAAGGCCAGGGCCAAGCCCAGGTTAAAGGTCAGGTAGAGATGCAGGACAGGACACGTTTATTGGCAAGCACGAAGTCAAAGGTTAGGGCCAGCACCAGGTTAAGGGGAGGTTCAAGACCACCGCAGGGTGCAGATGAAGGCAAGGGCAAGGGTCAGGGCTAAGGTGAAACACAGGAACTGGTTAAGAGCTAGGTGTATGGTGGTATAAGAGGTGGGCCAAGGTGAGGGCAAGGGCGAAGGCATGGGCAAGTTGGTAGTCAGCGAGAAGCTGGGCTGGCCTAATTAACGGAGAATTAGGCGCACGAGGCCGGGCAGGGCTGGCCCAGTGAAGCGAAAGCGCGGCAGGGTGTGCGGGGTTTGGCCCTGCAGGGCGGAAGTGCAGTGGGACGTCCGGAGAGAAGTTCGGGGGTCTCGCGAGTTAGCCTGCAGGCTGCAGTGCGACAGGGCTGGGGCGGGTGCTGGCTGTGTGAGGTGGAAGCGCGGCGGCGGGGCCGGCCCTGCGGGGCGGAAGCGCGGCAGGCAGGATGCGGTTTGGCCACGCAGGGCGGGAGCGCGGCGGGGCTGGGCGTGGCGAGGCGGGGCGGGCCATGCAGGCCGGACTGAGGCGGCGGGGCGAGGCGGGGCGGGGCGGGCCGGACGGAGGCGGCGGGGCGAGGCGGGGCGGGCCGGACAGAGGCGGCTGGGCGAGGCGGCGAGATGGCGCCGCAGCTGGGTCCGCACGAGCTGCTGCACGTCTTCTCATTCCTGGAGCCCCGAGACCTGCTCTCCGCAGCACAGGTGAACAAGGTAACAAGCTCTGTCCCAGGCGGGAGGCTGGGCCTGTGCTCATTGTCCCCGGCGTGTCCAAGGCCAGGCGCTTCTCCCCTGGGGCCTCAGTTTCCCCATCGGTGAGGGGAGGGCGTCGGGCCGCTCTGAATCCTGAATCCGTGCTGTTGCAGAGGGCGCTCGTCGCCGCAAGGGCGGTGACCTGGGCGGCTTCAGGAAGTCCAGTCCGTCCCTCCTGAGCTCCTGCGGCGGCCGCCGCCTCTGGACGAGATAAGATGCAGTCTCCCTGCCGTCAGGGTCCACCCCTCAGGTTGGCTGAGGGGGGGTCGTTTTTCTTTCTACTCCCGCCTTTTGGAATATTCTGGAACTTCCTTGCGCTGGGCGTTTTGCTTTCCCTGTCCCCGGAAAGCCACGCTCCCTTTTCTCCCCGTGATTCCGCCCCAATCCTGCCACCTCAGAGGCATCCTCCCCAGTCACTCGCACTGCCTCCCTTCGTCGCGCCGTTTCCCTCGTGGCTGTTTCACCTCGAGGTGCCCGTTGAGTGACTCGATCCCGGCTGCCCTCCGCTGCACTGCCACCGCGGGGTCCAGGTACCCTGGACTTCTTCCAAGGACTCGGTACAACTGTAATTAAAGGATTATTTGTGCAGTGTATTTGTTTAGTATTTGTTTTTCCCAGCCAGACTCCTTCCTAAGAGAGGGATGTTTGTCTTTTCCATCACTGTCTCTGGCGCCCAGTGTATGACTTGATATTCAGCGTCCCTTCAGGAAATATTTGTTGAGTGAGCGAGTTTTGTAAGGAATTTAAAATACATTATTATCTCATTTTACAAGAATATTAACAGGTCCGTACTGGAATACCATAATTATATTTAAATATATCAAGTAAAATACTGGGTTTTCATCATTTCATCCCCATTTTATGGTAAAAAAAAACAAAAAAAACTGAGTATCACACAGTGATTTGCTTAAGGTCACCCACCAAGTCATGCACAGGGCTGGAATTAGACCCTTGGCTGTTCTCGTAGCAGTAGGGGTAGGGGTTAGGGGTAATTCAGGGGCAGAGTTTGTCAGGGAGGTGCTTCACTTCCTTTGGTAGCACTAACTTCTTTGAGTCATAGTTTGCCCATAGGTAAAATGAGGTCAGTAATTCCTCAGGGTGTCATTGTGAAGGCCAGGATCCAACAGAAGGATCCTCAATGGTAGCTAGGATCCATTTTGTAGAATATATTATTAATACATATTATAATTCTTTTTTCATCTCCTTTTTCCCCAACTTGGAATGGATATTGCACATATTATAACTCTTTATTGGGGAAATAAAATAACAATTGGGTTTGGAACTAGGAACTACATGAAAGGAAAATTCACAAGATCTTCTTGGCTGATTTGATTTTGCCAAATATAAACTTTACATCCCTATTAGCCAAAAAGACTTCTTGAAGGCTGAGAAACTTTGAGCTAGCGGGTAGGTGAGGGCTGTTGAAATGCTTCTGCCAGGGCTTGGAAAGCCACATTTCTGGGATGGGATCCTCAGAAGGGCTGGACTACCGAAGGCTCTAGAGTTTACCCACTAAAACTCTATAGGTTCCGGAATCCAGCGCAGAGAGGCCAGGAAGTTCCAGAAGTCCAGGGCCAGAGGGAGGGAGACGTCTGGCACCCTGATCCTGGTTTCACAGAACCATCCCGAGCCTATTGCAGATACTTCTGCAGAGAACAGTTGTGGGAACAGGACCTGCATAGTACCCCTGCCCCCCAGGCTGTTCCCATGAAACCATTTTGGCAGCTTGAGGACATCCTTGTGGCCAGTGCCTCAGTTTACTCCCTTACAGCAGCCTTCCTAGGAAGCCTGCTTCTCTGCTCTCATTTTCAATCCTCAACAGCAGCCAGAGCAATCTTCCTAAAGCACAGTTTGACCTTGCCCAGGGGTCCTCAAACTTTTTAAACAGGGGGCCAGTTCATTGTCCCTCAGACCATTGGAGAGTGCGCACTGTGGGCCTGGGACAAGTCGGCTGCTAAGCAGGACAGGCAGCAGTGGCAAAAACACCCAGCAGGCCAGATAAATGTCCTAGGTGGGCGGCATGTGGCCCGTGGGCTGTAGTTTGAGGACGCCTGCTTGCCACTCCTCTATTTAAAATCCTCAAGCAGCTTCTCACTATTTTTGTCCTTACACATTTCCAGCTCCCTTTCCCATTCCTTTCTGTCCAGGACCCTAGGTTCTCATTAAGGCAAATTACTAGCCCATCTTTTTCATACTTAGGAATGTTTGCCTGGCTCTTCTGTCTCTCCCTGCAGTGCTTCAGCCGTTCTCTTAGAGGACAGCTACTCTCCTTTGGGACTTGATCAGTAATCAGTTTTCTGTGCCTCTCAGCCTTCCACCATTCACCCCCATTGATTTGGTCATTCTCTCTTTTCTTTGTCATTATTTGTTTTTAATTGTCTCTGGTTTCCATGGGTATGTTTTTTTGTGTGCAGAGACTGGGTCTGGTTTAGCTATTTGTCTGCTCCACCGGGCCTGGCAGGCTAGGTGCTAACTGCCTTTTGACTGACTCTTTTCTCCTCTTGTTCTAGGTCTGGAATGAGGTTTCAAGGACCAAGGACCTGTGGAGGTGAGTGAAGGAAGAGCCAAAGGTGGTCCCACAAAGAAGAATGTCTCACGAAGGAGAGATGGGTGCCCTGGATAAGTCTTTTGAGGACTCTGTATTTTTGGCTCTGTTGAGTACGTAAGAAAGGATTATTATCCACAGCCCCTACCAGCAGGAAACTTCTCCCTGGTTGAGGATGTAAGACTCTTTTCTTCTGAATATTGCGATGTAGAGGTTTTTTTCTCCCCCTCCAGCACTGCACTGGTTGTGCATCAAAGACTTTTTTTTTTTTTTTTTAAGATAAGATCTTGCTCTGTTGCCCAGGCTGGAACCTCAGACTCCTGCCTCAGCCTCCTGGGTAACTAGGCAGGAGGACTACAGGTGTGCCCCACCACACCCAGCTAATTTTTTAAAAAAAATTTTTGTAGAGATGGGGTCTCGCTTTGTTGCCCAGGCTGGTCTTGAACTCATGGCCTTAAGTGATCCTCCCACCTCGACCTCCCAAGGTGCTGAGGTTACAGGCATGAGCCAGCATGCCCAGCCTCACAGATGATTTGTAAAAGGCCTCTGTGCCCCTCTCTCCTGCTGTCCCTTCATTCAACCTCCTCATCCCCACCCCAAACATCCCCGGTTTTCTTCCCTGAGGTGAAAGGACTTGGATTTTTCCCCAAGGTGTAAAAGAAGAGAAGGCTGGAGGAGGAAGAGGAAACTGATGGGCTGTTGATGGTGGTGACAGAGCTGGGAGACAGAGGATGGAAGGGAGGAGGGGGCTGGGAAGGGTGAGGGTGTCAGGCGAGAGGGGCCTGGTCAACAAGCTGACACAGCTCTGCTAGGAGGCCAGACCAGCTCCTGTAACCAGGCATGCTGTGTGAGGAGACACATGTGTATTGCTTTCTTGGGGTCTGTTTGTCACCCACCAACATAGAGAACACACACTGATACGTGTGCACAAAGATCTGAGCTAAATGGGGGAAGGAGGAGGGGAAAACAGTGTCTTTGGTGGGCTTTGGGATAGAGGGAGATGGCCCTGAGGGGCTGTGGGGTGCTTGTGAGGTGGCAGGGACACACGATGACCTTCCCCTCCTCAGGAAGGCCTAAAAGGGAAAAGCAACCCCCAGTAAGATCCCCACCCTGGTGCTGATGATTTTCAGGGACTTTTTTGGCAGAAATGAAAGAGATTTTATTAAGCAAATGGAAGATTGATATCTTCCAGGTTGCCAATGGACATCAAATGAAGGCAGCAAGCTAGTAGGAGACAAATCAACAGAAATATGATCAAACGACTTTTATTTTAAATCAGCTTTAGCATAACAATATAGCAATGTAAGTATGATATTAGAACTCATAAAGATACAATGGAAAGAAATTAAAGTTGAAAATAAACATTGTAATCACTCAACTATTAAATTTTTCTTTCTTATTTATTCTTCCTTTGGAACCTCACATCTTTTCTTTTGTACCAAGGTAGAACTATAAGGAGCTGGGGAAAAAAAGGAACTGTCAGATCTCCAACCTTTTTCTAAATACAGTACAGCCTTGATTGTCAGCTAAGAGCTATGCTTAATTTTAGTCACTCATGATGGAAAATAATGTTTACCCATGTTCTTTGAAACACGGAGGAAGTCTTTGTTTGCACCTGTAGGTTAACTATACCTTAGGATAGTTGAGAATTTTCCAATGTCAATCTTGGCATATTTAGTTTTCAGCATCATACAGCACTGTTCTGTTTGTTGGCTTTTTATTAATTTTTTGTTACTAATATTAATTGGAAAACAGTATTAATCTTTTTAGTTTTGAAGTGAGAGAACTTTTATTGGAATTCAGTGTTTCCAATTTAGGGAATGTAGTCTAGGCATAAAATTCAGTTCTGGAAATTGGTATCTGTCTAGGTAGGTGGACAAGATTATGTCTTGCCAAATGTGTTTTTCAAAGAAATTGTTTCATTAGGAATAAATAAATTGGCTCATGGATTGGTATATCTGTTTATGGAAGCCCTTGCAGAGGAATATTCACATGTTTAAATGGGTGGGATACCAACCCTGGTCCTAGTCTTTGTTATTTTTGCTTATAAGCCAGGTTAGGACTTTTTCATTTGAGAGAAATGTGTATTTCTTTGAGTAGTTAAAAAAAAAAATCCTCTTTAGCACATCACATTAATCTCCATGTAGTATCATATATTTCCATGTTGCTTCCAGGTTCCTTGTGCAAATTCTTCAGCTGTCTGCAAGCCAGCTCACAAATGGATTTTCAGTTCATTAATATTTCATAGTGTTTAGTGTTGAACTTTTTAGCATAAAACATCCCTTGTGCTGTTGACCCATGTGCTTGTAAAAACACTGGGTTTATGTTTTTTGAGCTCAGACAACAGCATTCTAGGGACGTCATCACCTGCGGTCACGTGTATGTGTTATCTCCTGATGCCGGTGCTGCGCCTATCGTGGCATGTGCAAAAGCCCATTGAAGTTTTCATGGACACAGTAAATAAACGTGGTTAACCATGTCATGTATTTTTAATCTGTACTATACAATCTCAATTGAAAATGCTACAAGTTACTATTTTGAATGCTTCGTGATCTTTTTAATCCTGTCTTCAACAATCTAAACTTGAGCTTTTTGGTTAAAAGTAAAATTGCAAATATCTTTTATTTAAAGTAGATCATTTTTGTTGTGTGCAGTTGATTGTTTTGTTGGTTGCTATCTATGAAAGATTTTGGTGCCAAGATATTTTTTCACTGGATACGTCATTGTATTTCAGAGGCATAGCACATACTTTATTCATATTCCTACTTTAACCTTGTTGATGTCCACCTTTTTTTGTTCTTTTTTGGTCAAATCATTTGGTTTTCTTATCTCTTTTCTAAATATTGGTTACAGTTTTCACTATGCTTTGGTGCAGGGGTCCTCAAACTACGGCCCACGGGCCACATGCGGCCCGCTGAGGACATTTGTCTGGCCCTCTGGGTGTTTTTGCCACCACTGCCTGTCCTGCTTAGTAGCTGGCTTGTCCTGGGCCCCCAGTGTGCATGTGTGGAATGTGTGCCGCACTCTCAAACGGCCCTCCAGCTGTCTGAGGGACAATGAACTGGCCCCCTGTTTAAAAAGTTTGAAGACCCCTGGTTTGGTGCATACTGCCTTATACATGAAGAAATAGATTTCACTTCCACAAAGAAATGTTCCTTCTCCCCCTTTTCTTAAACCATATTATCATCTTGGTCTAGCTTTTATTTTCAAACTTTTCAGACTGAAATATGGTATGAGGAGGAAAAAAACAATTTAAACCGTGTTTTTCTTCTACTCTCACACCACAATAACAATCAACACAGGAGACTTCTGTGACCAAATGTGTAGGAGTTTCTTCCCACTACAAGTAGGCGAGCAGTTCTGCAGTGGGCACCAGCAAGGTGTCCTCCAATTCAATTCTGACACTACCTACCTTGAGATAGCATCGATCCCACAGGTTGGGGGCTCTGTCACCAAGACTGTCTCCCCACCCAGATACCAGTCACAAGTCTGGGCCTCCAGAACTTCTGACCAGCTACTTTCAAGGTGGGGTTCCTGTGACCTCCTCTTTTGGTTTGATTAATTTGTTAGAGCAGCTCACAGAACTCAGGGAAACACATTCACTGGTTTATTACGAAGGATATTTAAAAGGATACAAATAAAATGAAGAGATACATAGAGTAAGGTCTGGAAGGGTCCCAACCACAGGAGCTTCTGTCCCCATGGAGTTGGGGTGTGTTCCTGAGACCTGCTTCTGAGGTCTAAAGTGTTGTAAATACAGCAAAAAACCCAACAAAGGCTATGGGACTTAATAGCCTGGAACCCTGGATAAAAATACACACTTTTTATACGTATATATACTCAATCGTAATATATATGGATACAAGAAGTATTTCACTTTATTTTTTCAACTAAAAGTAAATCAGCAGTATAAGGGTGATGATATAAAGCAACTGACATTCAATGTTAGAATACAGGAGATGAAAGGAATGATGACTGTGGTGAATCGTCCTCATCTAAAGGGTATACCTCTATGTGGCCCCAGACATATTTTTCCAAGTGGTAATTTGGGTTCAGTATTTTGCTGGACCTTCTGTTTTTATTTAATTTTTTTTTAAATCTCATAATTTTTAAGTGTCTGCAACTAGTTTATGTGGGCCAATCCTATGCAGGCCAAGTAAAATAGTGTAGAGACTGTTCTGCGCACAGACTGTTAGTGTGCTACTTCTGGTAGAAAGACCAAAGACTCAGTAAGCACAGTGAACCTTTGTCCCATCTGGGCGCTGGAATTCTGAGTGTGTTAGAAGCTCTCCAGGGCTAGCAGAGAGCCTGATGCATAGGTGCTCAATGAATGTACAAGTATGATGGTAGAGACAAACTTTGTGGTGTTCTCGTTTACAACATGGGGCTATGAAACAGTTATTTCCCATCTGACCTCATTTTCGTCTTCTTGAGATATGAGTGCTACACTGTAGCCAGAGGATGCCACCTAAATGCCAAAAGTCTCTGTCTATGAAGCCTCCCTAACCCTCTCCAGCCAGATGTCCAATTTACTTGTGCTTAACTCCCATAGCACCATGAGCTGTTCCTTTTTCTTGAAACTTAGAAGTTCTCCCTGAGTTTTAGTTTTGTTTATCTTCCTCCTTATCACCAGCTGAGAGTGCCTGTAGGGCAAGGCCTCTAGTTCACTTAGGGGCCCACAGATTAGGTAGGTGTTCAATAATTGTTTACAGTGTGGGTGAGTTAACATTTTATCAACAACCTTGTGAGAGATGTGTTAGTATAAAATTGACAATAGGAGGCTGAGGTGGGAGGATTGCTTGAGCTCAGGAGTTCAAGACCAGCCTGAGCAAGAGCAAAACCCTGTCTTTCCAAAAAAAAAAAAAAAAAAAGAAAGAAAGAAATTAGCTGCATGACTAAAAATATATAGAAAAAATTAGCCAAGCATGGTGGCACATACCTGTAGTCCCCGCTGCTTGGGAGGCTGAAGCAGAAGGATTGCTTGAGCCCAGGAGTTGGAGGTTGATGCCATGGCACTCTAGCCCTGGGAACAGAGCAAGACTCTGTCTCAAATAAATAAATAAATAAAATTGATAGTAGTCACACTGAAGTTAAGAATGCAGACTCTTAGAAAATGGCAGAATAATGACCTCTGGAAATTTTCTCCACAAAAGCAATGAGAAAATTGGCAAGTATCAAAATCAACTTTTTCAGAACTCTGAAAATAACCAAAGGTTTGCAGCAATCAGGGAAGTCTTTATTCAAGAAAAATGACTAAATCTCAGCAAGAGTGACCCTATTGCCAAAACCCCATTCCAGTTCTTTGTGAGCTTTGGATATCAATAGCTCACAATCACAGTGTAAACTGAGCCTGGCAGCCACTAGAGGGTGAAGAATGGGATTGGAGAGCCTTGAAAGCCTGTTCCCACAGAATTGTCTTTATCTGACTTGACATGACCTTTCCCCAGTGCAAAAATAACCCCATTTACTTTGGGGTATTTGTTGAAACAATCATAGATATCTGTTTAATTTTGTGGCTGCCTGATCTGATGGATAACAGTTGGGTAAAAAATAGGCTAACCAAAAACTTGAAAGGAAAAGCTGGGGAATGAGATGTTCTTAAGGGTTTTGAAAAACTCCGACACATTCCTAAGAATCTAAATGGTCACATGCATGCGCAGGGCTGTGTGCACGTTTCAGGAAAGACTTAAGAAGGCCCTAAGCTCTTACATATCCTGTTAGCCTTGAGGCTATGCACAAGCAGAAAGTAAACGCTAAGGTGGAGTCATCAACTGCCCTGCTGAGTATTGGAGGTAGTCCCAACCTCTTCATAGAGCCCCATGGCAAAGACTGGGAGACTTACTGGTTCCAAACACTTAAGGAAATCTCTGTATAGTCATTAGTAAGCACTAATCTAATTGAGCAGAAATTTCAGTGGCCACAAATAACAAAGAATACAGATTTTTCAGAATTAGTTCAGAAATATCACTAAATAAGCACATTAACACTACCACAATAACAACCAGGGTGATCTGATTTCCAGAGTTGCAACATAATATTATTTAAAATGTTCAGTTTTTAACAAAAGTTATAAGACATGCAAAGAAACATGAAAGTATGGTCAGCACACAAGAAACAAAGCAACCAGTAGAAACCATTCCTGAGGAACCCCAGGCATTGGACTTACTAGACATACTCTAAATCATCTATTTAAAATATGTTGAAAGGACTAAAGGAAATCATATGTAAAAAACTAAAGGGAAGTATGAGGACAATGTCTCAACCAATATAGAATATTAATAAAGAAGTAGAAATTATGAAATAAGTATAGGCATTCTGGAGTTGAAAAAATACATAACAAATGAAAAAGTGGAGGGGCTCACTAACAGATTTGAGCAGAAAAGAAAAAATCTGTGAACGTGAAGATACATCAATTGGGATTATCCAGTCTGAGCAACAGTGAGTGTAAAGAATGAAATTTGAACAGTGCTGGCTGGGCGAGGTGGCTCATGCCTGTAATCCTAGCACTTTGGGAGGTCAAGGTGGGAGATTTGCTTGAACCCAGGAGTTTGAGTTTGCAATCATCTCTCATTGCACCACTCATTCCATTCTTGGTAACAGAGCAAGACCTTGTCTCAAAAGACAAAAACAAACAAACAGAAACAAGAAAACAGTACCTAGGAGACCTGTGGGACACAAGCATAACAACATCACATAGAAGTTCTAGAGTAAGAGGGAAAGAAGATAGAATATAGATGGTCCCCAGTTTACAATGGTTGACTTTTAATTTTTTTGACTTTACAATGATGGGAAAAGTGATATGTATTCAGTAGAAACCATACTTCAGTATTCAGTAAATTATATGATATACTCAACACTGTATTATAAAATAGGCTTTGTGTTACATGGGTTTGCCCAACTGTAGGCTAATGTAAGTATTCTGAGCACATTTAAGGTAGGATAGGTTAAGCTATTAATATGATGGGTTGGTAGATAAGTGTATTAAATACATTTCCATTTACCATCTTTTCAATTTATGATGGGTTTATTGGGATATAATCCCATTGTAAGTCGAGGAGCATCTGTATTTGAAGAAGTAATGGCTGAAAACTTCCCAGATTTGATGGGAAAACATGAATTTTCACATCCAAAATCTCAGTGGGTTGCAAGTAAGACAAAGTAAGATAAATGGAAAGATTTTGCACTAAGATTTTGCACTGAGTTCTCATCAAAAGCCATAGAGCTCAGAAGGTAGTAAGACTGACATTCAAAGTGCTGAGGAATACAGACTATCACCAGGAATTCCACATCTAGCAAAACTAACCTTCCAAAGTGAAGAAATTAAGATATTCCTAGATCAACAAAAGCTCAGAGAGTTTGTTGCTAGTATACTTGCCTTATGAGAAATACTAAGAAGAGTCTACAAAAAATACTAAAAGGAAATGAAAGGACACTAGATAGTAACTTGAATCCATATGAAGAAATAGCACCAGTAAAGGTAACTATAGGCATATATAAAAGGTAGTATAAATAAATGTATTTAATGTTTATAACTTTTTTCTCCTATCTGATTTAAAAGAGAACTGCATAAGGAGTCAGCACAAGTCTCTGTTGATAGACACATTGTATATAAAGTTGTAATTTGTTTAACCATAGCAGCACAAATGAGGCAGGGAGGAAATAGAGCAATATATGAGCAAAGATTTTGTTCGTATACTATTGAGTAAGTTGGTATTAATGAAGACTAAATTGTTATACTTAAGATTTAAGATATCACCAAAGCAACCACTAAAAATATAACTCAAGAAATATAATAGAAGATATGATAAGGAAATTAAAATAGTACACTAGAAAATATTTAACACAAATGTAGGCAGTAGTGGAAGAATAGAAACAAAAAAGGGATAAGACCTAGAAAATAACAAAATAACACGTATATTCTGTCTCATCAGTAATTGCATGGATTACACACTTCAATAAAAATGCAGAGATTGGCACAATGGATAAAAAAGTGATCCAACTTTATGCTGTCTACGAGAGACACACTTGAGATTCAGAGACACAATGGGTTGAAAATAAAAGAACGGAAGAAGATATACCATGCAAACAATAAAAGAAGTGGAGTGGCTATACTAATATCAGGCAAAATAGACTTTAAGACAGAAAGTGTTACTGGAGACAAATACGGAAGTTTTATAATGATAAATGGGTCAGTCCATCAAGAAGTTAAAATTGTAAACATGCTCCTGACAAAGCAACAAAATACATGAAGGGTGGACAGAATTGAAGGGAAAAATAGGCAATTCAGCAATAAGAGTGAGATTTCAAAAATTAGGCGCTGGAATCTGTTGGGTAACTTTGGGTAAGTTATTTAACCTGTCTCTGCCTCTGTGTCCTCATGTGTAGAATGGTGATGAGTTCCCATAGGGTTGTTATGAAGACCCACTGAATACGTAAAAAGCGCTGCATGTCTGACATGTAGTGAGTACTCGTTTGATGTTATCTCATCCCCATTTTACAGGAGAGGACATTGAAGCCTACATAGGCAAAGTGAGTTGTCCCAAGGTTTCATGGCCCACAAATAGTGAAGCCAGGATTCGAAGGCAGGCCTGTTGGCTCCAACATCCATGACTCCTATATCCTGCTGGACATTGTGGGTTTATTTTTTAGGCAGCTGTGTCTGAGACGCTGGTCATCCTGCAAAGCCTCCCAGATGGTCCTGGGCACACAAACATGGAAACAGTACTATCTGTGCCGATCTGAGCTGGAGTTCCGAATGGAATTTGGGCGGCCAGTGGACTTCACCTGCAAAGCCATGGCTGGACACACAGGTATGAAGTGGGGAACGTAGTTGCTATGTCTATTTCCAATGCTTATGCTCTTCTGGATCAGGTCTCATGGGATTTGGAGTTTCAGCCAGTACTTGATGAGTACATATCTTTCTGGGTTTATGCCATTTGTGTTATATCATTTGATCTTTGCAATAATAACCCTGTGAGGAAGGGATCATTATATCCATTTCAGAGTAGAAAGAGACAGAAACTAAGAGAGTAGGGAGTAGTTCAAGGTGGCTAGTGGTTAATGGACCATCCTGAGAGCAGAATCTGGTTGTAACCCTAAAGTGCTATCTCTTGTCCTGTCCATATTGTCCCCTGAATGAGTATCCATTATGCTCCTGAGACAGAGAAAGAGGAATTGTTTTCCTGCCTACCCTTTCACCAAGTTAAGTATTGACATCCCGAGCCACCAGTGTCTGTGTTTTCTTACAGGATCGATAGATGAGCTGGCTTACATCTCTACCGATGAGTGCCGGTTTGATGGGAGGGAGAAGTCTGTGGTTTGCACTGTGTCCTCAGACTGTACTGTGCGTGCCTGGGATTTACACGAGGTGAGCTGGTCCCCGGAAGTGAGGGCAAGGATGAAATTAATTGAATCCTTGCTGTGTCCTGGTCTTAGCTAGGCCCCTTTTCTTTATGTTTTCATTTACTCATCATAGAAAACTGAGGTGAGGAGTAGGAGTCCCATTTTGCAGACAAGAAATATGAGTTTGCAAAAGGCTCAGTCAGCATACGAGGTCACACTAATAGCAGGCATGGCACGGACCCATGCTTGAAACTGGAGTCTGACCGATCTCAAATGATGCATTCTTGGCTTCCTATAGTGCTGCCGCAGGGAGATGGACTTTACTGATAGTGCCTGGTGGGGACTGTTGGCACATGCCTGGAATGGCAGCTGCCATGTTATTCTGTGTACCTTCATTGAAGCATCATTGGACTTTGATCTGAAACCACCCAGTCATGTGATCTTCTACATTGGCAGTTATGCTGGCCCACTGGGTGGTTTTGCCTAGATAATTACAGCTTTTAGCCATTCGCTTGTGTAAACTTAAGTGTTAAAATCTGTATAACTTCATTAATATTTTACACTTTGGCACTTTGTTGGTGCTTATTGTTTAAAAGTTTTCATATCCATTTTCTGTTACAGCAGGCAAGAAGGTACTCATTATTATCATAATTTTATATAAGTGTAAACTGGGACTGAGAGAGGGAACGTGTCTCTGAGTCTTGAACCATGTGATCGCCCTGCAAATTCAGGGGTTCTGCCTAGGGCCACAAGAGATGGAACCCAATCTCCTATAATGGATATTTTCCTGGAAAACTATAGATTACTTCATATTTTGAATGCCATAGACAAGCAAAGCCACCTCCAGTCCCTTCCTTTATTATGTAAATAATGTCTTGGTAAGATTAGCTCTTGGCTCCAATCATAGGTAAGATTGGCTCTTGGCTCCAATCTCTTGGTACATTTTTTACTGTTCATTAGTTTTGCTGCAAGTATGTGCTGCCTCTAACAAGTTACAGGTTCCTTTTACTTAGTATACAAGTTACTTAGCACACCACTAACCAGGGTGCCAGGAGAAGTGACTGAGCTCAGGTCCCAGTCCCACTCTAGCTCCCTGTGGGATCATCTCTCCTGAGAGAGACCTGTGTGTAGGTTGTGGACATGTGGCATGAGCAGGCTTACATTTAGGGACACTTGGAGGAGAAGAAGACTTGAGGGCTGGGGCATTCCATAGTCATGAAACAAAAAGGTCTTGACTTGAATAAAGAGAGTGCTTTCATGTGGGGTCAGCAAGCTTGTTATATAAAGGGCTAAATAATATTTTAGGTTTTGCAGGCTAGACCGTCTCTGCAACAGCTCAACTCTATTGTTATATTGAATAAATAGAGCACAAACACAAGCATAGACAATACCTAAACAAATGAAAGTGGCTATATTCCAAGAAAACTACTTCTAGATACTGAAATGTGAATTTCATGTAATTTTCATGTGTCATGAAATATTCTTATGGTTTTTTTTTTTAACAAATATATAAAAATGCAAACAAAACAAAAATAGTTGGTGGCCTGGGTTTGGCTGCAGGCCATAGTTTGCCAAACTCTAATATCCTTCACTGTTTCCAGTGTGGAACAGTTTCAAAGTGCCAGAGGCCCTTCATGCCACTCTGCCTGGCTCCCCTCCGCTCCCCTTGGGGAGGGCTCTGCCCTCATGAATGCAATTAGGTACCATTATAAAAGGGCTTCACAGAGGGGTTCACCTTTCTTGCCCTCTGCCTTCTGCCATGTGAGGATACAGTGTTCATCCTCTCTGGAGGACACAGCAAAAGAGCTTTCAACAGACAACTGAACCTGTTGACACCTTGATTTTGGACTTCTCAGCTCCACAAATGTGAGAAAACAAATTTCTGTTCTTTATGAATTACCTAGTGTCAGGTATTTTGTTACAGCAGCACAACCAGACTAAAAAAGTTGGAATCATAATAGTATGTAGCCTTTTGAGATTTACTTCTTTCACTTAGTGGTATGCATTTAAGGTACCCCCATGTCTTTTTGTGATGTCAGTGCTTTTTAGCACTGAATAATAATCCATTGTATGGCTGTGCCACAGTTTGTTTATCATATTAAACCTAGGTATCTTGTTTGCTGCCAAGTGTGGCAATTTTAAATAAAGTTGCTTTGAACATTTGTGTGCAAGTTTTTATATAGACATAAGTTTTCAACTCATTTGGGTAAATACCAAAAGTACAATTGTTAGATTGTGTGTTAAGGGTATAGAGACAGAAGGCGGGGTGCAGTGGCACACGCCTGTAATCCTAACACTCTGGGAGGCCGAGGCGGGTGGATCGCTTGAGCTCAGGAGTTCTAGACCAGCCTCAGCAAGAGCAAGACCCCACTCAGCAAGACCGAGACCCTGTCTCTACTAAAAATAGAAATAAATTACTTGAACAGCTAAAAATATATAGAAAAAATTAGCTGGACATGGTGGTGCATGCCTGTAGTCCCAGTTACTCAGGAGGCTGAAGCAGGAGGATTGCTTGAGCCCAGGAGTTTGAGGTTGCTGCGAGCTAGGCTGACGCCACGGCACTCAGGCCTGGGCAACAGAGTGAGACTCTGTCTCAAAAAAAGAAAGGAAAAAAAAGAGTATAGAGACAAAAATAAGATCAGTGGTTGCCAAGAGGTTGGTAGTGATTGGGGGTGGGGGATGAATAAGTGGAGCACAGGGGAAGTTTAAGGCAGTGAAACTATTCTGTATGATTCTGTAATGGTGACTACATGAGATTATGCAACTGTCAAAATCTGAAGAATGTACACCACCAAGCGTGAGTCCTAATGTAAACTATGGACTTTAGTTAATAAGATGTATTATTATTAGTTTGTCAGTTATAACAAATGTAACACACTAATGTCAGATTTGTTTTGTTTTATTTTTAGAGACAGGGTCTTGCTCTGTCACTTAGGCTGGAGTGCTGTGGCATCAGCCTAGCTCGCAGCAACATCAAACTCCTAGGCTCAAGCAATCCTTCTGCTTCAGCCTCCTGAGTAGCTGGGACTACAGGCATGTGCCTTGATGCCAGCATAATTTTTCTAGAATGTTTAGTAGAGATGGGGTCTCGCTCTTGCTCAGGCTGGTCTTGAACTCCTGAGCTCAAGCAATCCTCCCGCCTCAACCTCCCAGAGTGCTAAGATTATAGGTGTGAGCCACTGTGCCCAGTCTGCACTTAATTTTTCGGTAAACCTAAAACTGCTCTAAAAAATCACATCAGTTAATTTAAAAAGATTCAGTCATTTCAAATTTAAGGTAAACATTCTCATAAAGATTTATTATATATGTATAAAGTAAGATTAATAGTCTCTGTCCCATCTACCCAAAAAAACAAAAGACATTTTATAAAAAAGACATCTGCACTCGAGTGTTTATGGCAGCACAATTCACAGTTGCAAAGATATGGAAACAACCCAAGTGCCCATCAATACATGAGTAGATTAATAAAATGTGGTATATGTACACCATGGAGTTCTACTCAGCCACAAAAAACACTGGTGATATAGCACCTCTTGTATTATCCTGGGTAGAGCTGGAACCCATTCTACTGAGTGAAGTATCCCAAGAATGGAAAAACAAGCACCACATGTACTCACCAGCAAATTGGTATTAGCTGATCAACCCTTAAGTGCACATATAGTAATAACATTCATTGGGTGTCAGGCAGGAGGGAGGACGGAGAAAGGGATGAGTGTATACACATGTAATGGGTGTGGGGTGCACCGTCTGGGGAATGGACATGCTTTAGGCTCTAACTCGGTTGGGGCAAAGGCAATATATGTAAGCTAAACATTTATACTCCCATAATATGCTGAAAAAAAAAAATTTAAAAATAGTCTCTATCCCTCCTAATCCTACCCACTAATGTTACCAATGTTAACCATTTGGTCCGTACCCTGCTTTATTCTACAAATACAAACAGGCACACATGTGTATGATTAAATAGAAAGGTGTTTGGTCATTAAAGAGTATTACTTTCTTTATTTTTTTTAAACAGAGTAAGATCATCTTGCTCCTGTAAGTTGTTTATTATTTACTGTGTTGATGGACGTTCCTTCTTGTCAGCTCATACAGTTCTCATCTCTTCCTTAACACCTCTCTAGCATTGCATAATGTGATTGTGTCATAGTTTATTCAGCCATTTCTCTCTCTATGAACATTCAGGTTTCATACATTTTTTTTTTTGCTATTGTATATATTTGTGTGTATGTGTGTGCTCTAAACACTATAGGGCTTGTACATTCTGTTCTGCAGATTTCCGTAAGTTGGGTTGTGGGTCAACTTCATTAGCAATTTAGGCTTTAATAAATACTACCATATTTGTGCAGAAAAGTCTGGGATAATTTATGCTTCCACCAAGATTGTATGAAAACACTGGTTTCCCACATTCCTCCCAACATTGTTTATTTTTTGCCAATCTGATATGCAGAATGTTAAAGTTGTCATTTGCTCTTTCTTTTCTATTCAGCTTCTTCATCCATGTGGGGGTAGAGGTGGGAGAGAGGCCAGTTTGTGTGTCCTTTCCTTGTCAATGTGTACAAATTCTTTATATGGGAAGGATAATAATGCAAAAGCTAATGAACTCATTGAATCTGCACAGGCACCCTATGCCTGGGAGGGTATTATCACCACTTCTCAGCCAAGGAAACTGAAGTTCAAGGAGATGCAGCCTCTTGTCGAGAGTCAGCCTGGCCTCTGAACCTGTTCTTAATTCCTGTACTCTACAGTCACCAGGGATTACTCAGTGTTTCCTGCTCAAGTGGCAAAGACTCCTTAGCATTATTCTTTCTTGGATTTTGCTTTACAGAAGTTTAATTGTTATTCTTTTATGACTTCTGGGCATCCTGTTTTGGTTTAGAAGACCTCTCTTATCCCAACTGGAAGTTCCTATTTTCCTGCATTTTGGGGTAATTTTTTAAAATTGTACATTTTGAAATTTAATTTATAAGAATTTTTGTGTGTATGATTGGAAATATAGGGGTTGAACTGTAGTTTCTTGAACTAGGTAGCTGACTCTTCCAACATTGTTTACTCAGTAAACCTTTCACTGACTTATAAAGCTCCTCTTTTATATATCAAATTCTCATTTATGTTGGGCCTGTGGGCCTTCTGTTTCATTGGTCTGAATGGCTTTTTTGCTGGTATCATATCATTCTGAATACAAGGGCTTTGTGAAACTTTGGATATCTAGTAGGGCAGATCTTCTTTTACAGTTTCATTTTTTTGTTTTTTTTTTTTTAAATTTTCTTCATGGTCATTCTTCCATGTGAACTTTGGAACCCTATTTCCTCCCCTTGGAGCTCATCCTGTAATTTGAAATACAGTTCACCCTTGAATGACATGCTTTAACCTGTGTGGGTCCATTTATATGTGAAGTTTTTCAACCAAACATGGAGCCCCTGCACTCCAGCCTGGGCAACAGAGTGAGACCCTGTCTCAAAAAACAAACAAAAATACCCACAGTATTCACGGGATGCGAAACCCGTGTACACTGAGGGCTGACTTTGAATACATGGGCTCCACAGGGCTAACCGTGAGACTTGAGTATGTCTGGATTTGGGCACATGTAGTGAGTCCTGGAACTGTAATAAGAATGAATGTGGGAATGAAGCATTTCTAAAACGTGGATTAAACTCACTTGTGATCCAGACCTTTTTCTTTGTCGTGAGTGATCTCTACCAGTCTTTTCAGTCTCTCCTGTAGTTCCTCTACTGTCCAGGTTTCTACCTTTTCTTGAGTCAAGTTGAATCACTTCTATTTTGCTAGAAAATTATCATTCCTTCTAAATTTTCAAATTTAGTGTTGCCTCAAAACTGCCCATTGTTGGCTGTGGTTTTCTCATCCTCTTTCTGGCTGTGGTATGTAGTCCTTTCTCATTCTCTCCAGTCTGTCTTTTTATATACCCAGTACGGTTCAGTTTGCCAATAATTTATTTAAATTTTTTTTAATCTATATTCATGAATATATTTTTTAAATATTTGTTTATTTGTGAAATTCATGACAATTTTTTTGGGGGGTAGAATATAACTAAAAGCATGGCAACAGTTTGCAGTTACTCTACAGAAGGATGGTAGAAATTGGGGTGCAGCTGACATTATAGTGGTACATAGTTAAAGGTCGAAGTTCTAAAAGGATTGCTTTTAAAAACCAGTCATGCCCACTGCTGCTTCCCCAGAGGAAACAATGTTCCCAAAGGGATAATTAGGCATCTAATTATTAGACATCTATTGAGTTCTGTGATAAGTGATTTAGCTCTTTCCTGTTCTGCCCTTCACACAGGTTTAACCTTCCTGTCCCAAAATAATAACACTGATGTTGTGTAGGCCAACATTTATTGTTTATATTATTATAATTGTCTAAATGCTCTTCACAGCTGAGCCGGGAGGTAAACTTTCAGTACCATTCCTTCCTCCTCTCCCATTACCTTTTGCTTTCCATGAAGTTATTATTTTAAAAAAAAAAAAAATTTTGCTTAATTTTCTGTGTTATATTCAACTCCACATTTTGACCAATTCTCTGTATTGATTTCTGATGTGGCATCCCACACTGTTTTGTTCTCTCATCTCGGGAGAATTCTAGGGCTTGAGCTTGCCTCTTCCTAGGTTCACAGTATCTGGTGCGAGGGGAAACATCGGCCCCCGATTCCACGTCCCTTGTGACTCCTGGTCAGGGATCCCCTCTCTTCGGTGGGGGGGGGTGGAGCTGGGGAAGACAGGCAGGAATTAGACTGGCATGTTTCAGCGTTCAGTTTCACTGCTTTTTCGCCCATTTCAGTATCACTAACCGCTTGTAAATAGTCTGCATTTCTCTGAGAGTCATTTGCCGTCAGCCCGGTCCCCGGTGCTGAGGTCTATACAGTACAAGTGACAGTCATGTTAGCTGTTTAAGCCATAGAAATCCTCTGAGGGGGAAAAAAGAAACTAATAGAGGAAAACCAAGATAATCATGATTGGAAAAAAGACATGATGGTAAAACTGATACAACATGAAAAAGGCCTTAAGAGCCCCAAATGGAAGGACAGCTAACCGGGCAGGCCTGGGCACTCGGCGCAGCCATCAGCGGCTTTGCCCCTTACACTTTGCCCCGATGCGGCATGGGCCCCTCAGCACCGGGCTCTTTACCTCTTCATTCCAATTTTCAAAATCCCAGGAGAGACCAGGGACGGAGTTTGGGGCAGTCGTTTTCCTCTGGATCGCTGGACTGTGTATGGGGTTAGGGCTTGGCCAGGGCTGGGCCAAGAGAAGGAAGGGGTGTTCCGAGCAGGGCAGCTGCTGTCTGTGCAGCATAAACTGCATTTAGTCACATCCACAAGCCTAAATTTGCTTATCAGTAAAACCAGGCTGCTGTGAGAATCGCATGAGATGATACCCATGAACGTTGTGTGTAGACTGAGAGCACAAGCAGTGGTGCGTGGCCCAGGCTGCTGAGCGTGGTGTGGCAGTGTTGCATCAAGGCCTCATCTAGCCTGTGCCTTCCTTCTTCTGTTGAGCTCTGGGTCACTGCTGAGAGTGCTTCAGACATGCCATTGTGCATGCCAGACCTCATTGCTGTGTCTCCCTGGTGAGTGCTATCCAGCCTTCAGGAGGTCTTTCCAGACAGCCTAGCTAAGTCTCTGTGCTTCTTATATCTTGGACACCCCTGTCTTTCCTCTATTGTCTCACCTACTGTGCTGTAGGGTGGGATCATGCCCTTCCACCTGTGTGCTGTGAGTATGGTACAGAGTAGGCACATGTAAATAGGTGTTGGTTGAATGCATGAAAGTAATATGCGTTTACGAAATCAGTGGATCCCTGTGTCTGTTGTTATGTTACTTTTGTTGTTGCCCAGGGCATGGAGATCTGGTCGAGCCCTCAACAGCCTGCCGCTCTGGTGAATTTGGTGGCCTACCCTCAGCTGCAGCTGGTTGTCACTGTGGACAAGCAAGGATTGATCAAATCATGGAAGGCAGAGAACGGGTGCGAGCTGGCCTCCTTCTGCCTGCCGATGCACTCGTCTGCGTTGGAGGCCTGTGACCATCCTGAGGGCCCCTTTCTGCTGGTAAGTGACCCAACTCTCAGGAGCCTCTGCAGGTCTTGGCTGTCTCCAGGGTCTGTGGACACTGGTGCCATGACCATTATGGTGTATAGAGCCTCAAGCCAGGCCCTCTACACAACAGACCATGTCACTCTCCTACTCAGATCCCCCATCCCTTGCCTGCCACGTGAAGTGCAGACTCCTTGTCCTGGCCTTTGATTCTAGCACATGGCAGCAGCCTGTCTCCATAACCCGTCTCTGTAGCATCACCTTTTCTGTCACATGAGATCTGTGGACTGCCTAGGGTTTTTTGTTCTGTGCTTTTGCCCTTCTGTTTCCTGACCTTTGCTTATAGTCTGTTCTACCTGCGATCTTTTCTTATTGCTCCATTCTTGTCTTTCATTCCTGTTTCTCAAGTCCTTGCTAAGGTCTAACTCAGGAAAAACTGAGTCATGTTTGACAGAATGTGAGCATTTGCCCAAGACAGTGAAGGCTTTCAATAGCCCAGTCAATAGTGTAGACATGGTTCTTAGCCACTGGAGAGATTTGAGCAGGGAAAGCACAATGGAGGTGGTGGTTAAGGTGACAAATCGAGGCAGCTGCTCTCAGCTGGAGCTGGTATCATCCACTTGTGGGGGAAAGGGGTATTTGAAAGTGTGGGCAAGCTAGGATTCCTGAATAAAAAAGATGATTAGACATCCAGGAACAATTTTTTTATTTAATTTTTTTTGATGCCTAATAGCTAAATGTATTTTTAGTGCACATGTGATAATTTGATACATTCATATAATTTGTAAAGATCAAGTCAGTGTAATTGAGGTATCCATCATCTTAAATATCTATCTTTTCTTTTCTTTTTTTTTTGGAGACAGACTCTTGCTCTGTTGCCTGGGCTAGAGTGCTGTGGTACCAGCCTAGCTCATGGCAACCTCAAACTCCTGGGCTCAAGTGATCCTCCTGCCTCAGCCTCCCGAGTAGCTGGGACTACAGGCACTCACCACCACACCCAGCTAATTTTTTCTATTTTTAGTAGAGTCGGGGTCTCGTTCTTGCTCAGGCTGGTCCCAAACTCCTAAACTCAAGCAATCCCCCTGCCTTGGCCTCCCAGAGTGCTAGGATTACAGGCCTGAGCCACCATGCCTAGCCCTATTTATCTTTTCTTTATGCTAGAAACATTCAAATTATTCTAGCTATTTAAAAATATGCACTAGATTATTGTAAACTATAGTCACCCTATTGATCTATCAAATACTATGTCTTATTTCTTCTGTCAAACTGTATATTTGTATTGATTAATCACACTCTCTTCATTAACTTTGCCACTCTCCCTATCTCTGGTAACCACCAGCCTACTCTGTATCTTCATGTGATCTACTTTTTTAGCTCATGTGATCTATTTTTTCACCATATATGAGTGAAAACATATGATATTTGTCTTTTCTATGCTTAGCTTATTTTATTTAATATAATTACCTCCAGTTCCATCTATGTTGCTATAAAAAATAGGGTTTCATTCTTTTTTTATGGTTGGCTAATATTCTATTGTGAATATATATCACATTTTCTTTATCCATTCACCCATTGATGGGTACTTAGGCTGATTTTTTTTCTTTTTTCTTTCCTTTATTTTTTGTTGGGATGGGGTCTTCCTGTGTTACCCAGGCTGGTCTCAAACTCCTGGCCTCAAGTGATCGTCCCACCTTTGCTTCCCAAGGTGCTGGGATTACAAGCATGAGCCACTGTTCCTGGCTAGGTTGATTTTTTTTTATTTTGGCTATTGCAACAAGTGCTGCAGTAAACATGGGAGTGCAGATATCTCTTCAATATACTGATTTCCTTTCTTTTGGATATATACCCAGTAGTGGAATTCTTGGATCATGTGGTAGTTCTATTTTTAGTTTTTTGAGGAATCTCCATACCATTTTCTATGGTAGCTATAGTAATTGAGATTCCTATCAACAGTGTATTAGGGTTCCCCTTTCTCAGCATACTTGCCAGCATCTGTTATTCCCTGTCTTTTTGACAAAAGTCATTTTAACTGAAGTGAGATGATATCTCATTGTGGTTTTGATTTGCATTTCCTTGGTGATTGGTGATATTGAGCTTTTTTTCATATACCTATTGGTCATATGTATGTCACCTTTTGAGAAATGTCTTTTCAGATCTTTTGCCCATTTTTAATCAGATTATTCTATTTTTACTATTGGGTTGTTTGGGCTCCTTATATATTCTGGTTATAAATCCCTTATCAGATGGATAGTTTACAAATATTTCCTCCCATTTTGTGGGTTGTCTCTTCACTTTATTGGTTGTTTCCTTTTGCTGTACAGAAACTTTTTGACTTGATGTAATCCCAGTTGTCTGTTTTAGCTTTGGTTGCCTGTGCTTTTGATGTTCCATGTGCTGATGAAAAGAATGTGTATTCTGCAACAGTTGGGTGAAATATTCAGTAAATGTCAGTGAGGCCTCTTTGGTCTAGTGTGTAGATTAATTCCAGTGTTTCTTTGCTGATTTTCTATCTGGATGATCTGCCCATTACTGAGAATGAGATGTTGAAGTTCTCTACTATTAATTGTATTCCAGTTTATCTCTCCTTTTAGATGTTTGCTTTATATACTTGGTGCTCTACAGTTGGGTATATAGATATTTATAATTGTTATGTCCTCTTGCTGAATTGACCCCTTATCATTATATAGTGACTTTCTTTGTCTTCCTTTTACTATCTATTTTTATTTGATACAAGTATAGCTACTCCTGTTCTTTTTTGGTTTTCAGTTGCATGGAATATGTTTTTCCACTCCACTTTCAGTCTGTATGTATCTTCATAGGTCAGGTCGGTTTCTTATAGGGATCATATAATTGGGTCTTATTTCTTCATTCATTTGGCCACTCCATGTCTTCCAGTTGGAGAATTGAGTTCATTTATATTCAGTGTTGTTATTGATAAGTAAGGAGTTACTACTGCTATTTCATTGCTTGTTTTCTGGTTTTATAACTCTTCTCTTCCTTTCTCCCTTTCTTCTTGTCTTCCTTTGTATTAATAGTTAAGTGATTTTCAGTGGTAGTGTGTTTTAATTCATTGCTTTTTATTTTTAGTGAATCTGTTGTAATTTTTTGCATTGTGGTTACCATGAAACTTATAAAAAACATCTTATAGGTATAAGAATTTCTTTTAAATAGATGAAAACTTACCTTAGGTCATAAAGAAAATAATATTCCCAAAGCAAAAAATGGAAAAAACCCCTAAACTTTAAGTCCATACCCCCACATTTTGACTTTGTTTCAATTTACATATTTTTATATTGCCTATCTTTTAACAGGTTGTTATAGCTATTATTATATTGGATAGATTTATCTTTTTGGCTTCTTAGTAGAGTTATGAGTGGATTGAGCACCACAATTACAGTATTAGAGTATTCTGGGTTTGTCTGTATACTTAATTTTATCAGTGGATTTTAGACTTTTAAGTGTTTTCTATTTGCACATTAATGTTTTTTACCATGTGCTTGGTGCTGGGCAGATGAGGGCAAAGGGGAAAGGCATTTCAGATATGGAAATCTGATTCTTTTACCATGTGCTTGGAGGTTTTTCACTTCTCTGTAGCCCTCAGAACTGTCTCCTCATATTTGAGTTCTGGGATATTGATGGTGATAATCTCAGTGCTATGTATTTGTTTTTGTTTTTGTGGATTGGAGTGTGAAGCCAGCTTGCTTCTACTTCACCATTTTGGAACTGGAAGTCTCCAGGAGCAATTTATTTGTTTATTTTTATTCATTTATTTATTTAAAAATATGAAACACTTCACAAATTTGCATGTCATCCTTGCACAGGGGCCATGCAATCTTCTCTGTATTGTTCTAATTTAGTATATGTGCTGCCAAAGTATGCATACCCAGGAACAATTTCATATTTAAACAAATCTAATTCTGTTAAGGAGAGGAAATTGGCTTAGCAATCAAAAAAGTAAGACCAGCCAGATGTGATGGCTCATGCCTATAATCCCAGCACTTTGGGTGGCTAAGGTAAGAGGATTTCTTGAACTCAGGAGTTTGAGACCAGCCTGGGCAACATGGCACCCCATCTCTACAAAAAATAAAAAATATTAGCTGGGTGCAGTGGTGCATACCTCTAGTCCCAGCTACTCAAGAGGCTGAGGCAGGAGGATTGCTTGAGCCCAAAAGTTCGATGCTGTAGTGAGCTATGATCATGCCACTGCACTCTAAGTTGGGTGGTGGAGCAAGACCCTATCTCTTAAAAATAAAAAAACATTATTTTTAAAAATTAGCCAGGGCCGGGCGCTGTGGCTCACGCCTGTAATCCTAGCTCTTGGGAGGCCAAGGCGGGCGGATTGCTCAAGGTCAGGAGTTCAAAACCAGCCTGAGCAAGAGCGAGACCCCGTCTCTACTATAAAAAACTTACCTGGGTAGGTCATAAAGAATAATTTTCCCAAAGCAAAAATAGAAAATACCCTAACTTTAAGTCCGATACCCCACATTTGACTTTGTTCAATTTACAGTATTTATATATGCCTATCTTTTAACAGGTTTGGTATCTATTATTATATTGGATAGATTATCTTTTTGGCTTCATAGTAGAGTGATGGATGAGGTGAGCACCACAATTACAGTATTAGGAGTATTCTGGTTTGTCTGTATACTTAATTTTATAGTGGATTTTAGACTTGTTAGGTTTCTATTTGCACATTAATTTTTTTACCATGTGCTTGGTGCTGGGCCGATGGGAGGGCACAGGAAATGCATTTCAGATATGGAAATCTGATTCTTGTACCATGTGTCTTGGAGGGTTTTTCACTTCTCTGAGCCGCTCAGAACTGTCTCCCTCATATTTGAGTTCTGGATATGATGGTGAAATCTCAGTGCTATGTTTGTTTTTGTTTTGTGGATTGGAGTGTGAAGCCAGCTTGCTTCTTCTCCCATTTTGGAACTGGAAGTCTCCAGGAGCAATTCATATGTTTATTTTTATTCATTTATTTTATTTAAATCTGAAAACTTCACAAATTTGCA